TAGAAGATTAAGTGTGACCGAACCAAAACGAACCACGAGTTTGAGAAGTTCCTGACTGCTGGGAAGTGTAGACTGCTTGGCTTCAGTCATCAACATGACAGGAATCGATATTTGAAAGTTCTTGATGACATGACTCAAAATCTGTTGCAAATACCTAGGTATATGCATTTTTTTTTATTCATTTTGGGAAGTTTCTACATTTTCAATAACATCTCTTTATCCCTCTCTCCTCTAATGCTACTTAGTCCGAGCAAACCATTCCTTTCCTATCCACTTCTTCTTTTAATGCAGCTGTAAAGTGTTGGAACTAGAAAAAAAATTTACCAGATTTTATTATGACTTAGCTCTTCATGACGTGTTATACGAAACTTATACTGCTGGACTGTTACATTTTCCCCAATCTCAGGCTCATTTTAAGTTATAATCAGTTCGAAAGAAATCAGACTGTATACGAATATACAGATTATTATTAGTCCCTTGGGTTCCTAATGAAATGTAGGGCATCAGTAGCACGTCTCCACTGCACTCTGTTCTCTGAAATCTTTTCGACCTGGCTCCAAGACAGCCCAAAAGCTCTCATCTCCTCCTCACACAATCTCCTACATGTCACCCTCACCAAGGAGCCACAACTCGTCGTTTCCCATTCCGGTTCCACTCGAGCAACTGACCTGACGCGTGATGTCCCCACTCGGTCTTCTCAGTGTATGCCCAATCCATCTCAACTTCCTTCTGCATATTTGTTGGATGATGGATGGGTTCTTGGTTGGTTCGTTGTCAGCCAGCCAGCCAGCCAGCCAGCCAGCCAGCCAGCCAGCCAGCCAGCCAGCCAGCCAGCCAGCCAGCCAGCCAGCCAGCCAGCCAGCCAGCCAGCCAGCCAGCCAGCCAGCCAGCCAGCCAGCCAGCCAGCCAGCCAGCCAGCCAGCCAGCCAGCCAGCCAGCCAGCCAGCCAGCCAGCCAGCCAGCCAGCCAGCCAGCCAGCCAGCCAGCCAGCCAGCCAGCCAGCCAGCCAGCCAGCCAGCCAGCCAGCCAGCCAGCCAGCCAGCCAGCCAGCCAGCCAGCCAGCCAGCCAGCCAGCCAGCCAGCCAGCCAGCCAGCCAGCCAGCCAGCCAGCCAGCCAGCCAGCCAGCCAGCCAGCCAGCCAGCCAGCCAGCCAGCCAGCCAGCCAGCCAGCCAGCCAGCTAGCCAGCCAGCCAGCCAGCCAGCTAGCCAGCCAGCCAGCCAGCCAGCCAGCCAGCCAGCCAGCCAGTCAGTCAGCCAGCCAGCCAGCCAGAGTTCCTTGTAGCTTATACTTCCTGGCAATCCATCTGATATTCAGTAACCAGCCAGCATAGGCAGTTGTTGATGAATGTCTGTAGTTTATTGGAAATGCCTTTCGTAACGCGCCAAGTCTCTGAGCCATACAGAAGCACTGACTTGACTGATGTTGGTGTTGGAAATCCGGATCTTGTTCCACATGCTGAGTGCAGTGGATCTCCACACTGGTTTCAGGTTAATGAACGCCTGTCTTGCTTTTCCAATCTTGGCTGCCTTGACGTCCTCGTCTGTGCCGCCACCTGTAGTTGAAACAGTGCTGCCTAGATAGGTGAAGGAGGTTACTTCCTTTAAGTTTCTCGCGTTCATGGTGATTGGAGCTTTTTGTTGTTGGCCGAGTATCTTCATCACCTCTGTCTTCTCTACGTTCACTTGAAGTCCCATCTTCACTAAACTGCCTCCTCTGTCAACTTGTACATCTTCAAGTTTGTGTGGCATCAGACACAAGTCATCGACGAAATCCAAGTCTTCTAGGATCTGTTCCCCGGTCCAGCGTATCCCCCTCTTCTCACAGCTCCTCACTGTTCGTTGCATGATCCAGTCCAGTCCACTACAATCAGGAATATCATGGGTGATAGTAGGCAGCCTCATTTTACTCCTGTCTCCACTTCAAAAGCATCACTGAGCTTCCCGTTGTGAATTACTTGGCTGGCATGTGACGTCTTCATATAGTTGTTGGATGAGGTTGATAAAGGTTATTGCGGTATTGCGTAGTGTTGAAGCGACTGCCTGCCAAATTACTTCTCGGTCGACGCTGTCGAAGGCCTTCTCAAAGTCGATGAAGTTGGTGTAGAGTTGAGTTGACTGTCATTCTATACTCTGTTCTATGATGATGCGAAGCGTTACAATTTGGTCCACACATGATTTGCACTTCCTGAAGCTAGACAGCCTGTTCCGGTCATAGTTTTGAATCCAGCGCATCCTTTAGTCTCTCCAGGATGATGCGGCTCAATATTTTGCTTGCTTTGGGTGGACAGGGGTGGAGCATGATTCCACGCCAGTTCTTGCAAAGACTTAGGTCGCCCTTCTTCGGCAGTTTGACAAGGTAGCCCTTATTCATGTCACCCGGCAGGCACCTTCCCTTCCTTCTAGACCTTCTGCAATAGTGGTGTGAGCATGTCTGCTGTTGTCCCTGTGTCTGTTTTCAGTGCTTCTGGCGGGATCCCGTCTGGTCCTGCTGCTTTCTCGCATTTCAGTAGATTTATGGCGTTCAGGACTTCCACTTTCATCGGAGGGCTTGTGTTCACTTGTAGTTCTGTGGCTGGGCTGCTTGTGGTATTTCTGGACGAAGTGCAGGTGGTGGTGGTGGTGGTGGTGGTGGTCGATTCAAGAGCTTCTTGAAGTGGTCAGTCCATCGTTTCCTTTGTTTGTCTTCTCTCGTAATTAAATTTCCGTCATCACCCTTTATTGGTTTCGTCTGCGTTGATCTCTTATCTCACAGACAGTAACCTGGTTATTTGATGCGATACAATGTTGTCAGGTCTCTGTCTCCGCTACACGCAGCCTGTTCTGCTTCACTTGCCAGTGTTTCGTAGAAGTGTCTTTTGTCTTCCCGTGCACTCTTCTTCACTTCTTCGTCCAGCGTCTTATGCGTTGTACTCATTTGCTCTTCTCGTCATTCATCGTTGCACTGCACTGATTTATCTTCTGCTTCACCGTCCTCCTCTCTTCTATCAGCTTCCATGTGTCTGTCGAGATCCATTCCTTGTCTTCTTTCCTCTCTTGTCCCATTACGGTTATGCAGGTTTCTTTCCACATCTCTTTCAGAGAGTTACAGTGTTCTTCCACACAGGTTCCTTCACGGATGTTCCACGATATCTCCCATTTTGTCTTGGTGGCTGACTGACGTGAAGATTTCCTTTGTAGTTTCGTCCTTCAGTTCAGTTTCTGGGTGTTCAACTTAAACTGTGGTCTATCACCAACTTCCTTAAAGGCTTTCAACTTGACTCTGAAGGCTGCTTGCACTAACTAGATAATGAGTGATGTGAACCTAAATCTGCTCCTCTTCTTGATCTGATCTTGGGTCAGGTAGGCTGTGTCTCCATCTCCACTTTCTTCACATTGAGATAAAGTCGATCTGATTTTCACTGTGTCCATCTGGTGAAGTCCATGTCGCTGCCTTGTGAATATCCTTATGTTTTTGCACACTGACTCCAATCACCGAATCATTGAGTGCACAGAATTCTGCAAACAATTCTCCATTCTCATTCTTCATTTCACCGAGTGCTTGTCGACCCATGATTAGTTCTCTTCCCATGTTGTCCGCTCCCAGTTTGGCATTCATGTCACCCCACCAATTAGGATTTTGATGTCTCCAACTGAGGTTTTGTCCAGTGGTGATTGCAGTTGTCTGTAGAATTCCTCCTTCTTCTCTTCGTCTGCATTATTTGTAGATGCGTAGCACTGAATGATTGTGACTTTCATTCCTTTTGAGTTGAATCTTGCTGTCGTGATCCTGATCGCTGAGGAGATTGGTTCCCACTTCATGGAAGTGAGCCTTCGATGCTGTTGGGGACATCATGAAAGCCACTCGAAAACTCAGTGTGCTGTGCTCGTGGTTGTCGTCTGGGTGAGAGTGTCGGAGTAGATTATTGATTCTGCAGTTGACAGTCTGGAGAGTCCACTCCCATTCCATCTGCTTTCACAAATTCCAAGCACTTCAATGTGATACCTCTTCATCTCGTTTGCAATCTGGGCAGCCTTGTCAGCCAGTTTCAAACATGGTGCGGATATTCCATGTCCCCATGTTTACTTTTGCTATCATCCAGAGGAGACACATCGGCCCTGCCAATTGGCTTCCCGAAGGCTTCCACCAACTGGCGTCATTTCGCCTCTCCAATTCCAGTGAGGAATAATTTTGTTATTATTTTTTATATATCGTTTGTGCTTTGAAGTTTCTTTAGCGGTTAGATTTGTTTTCCGGGGTAGGGTTGATAGACGTATGTTCAACCTTCTCTCTTTACCCGGACTTAGGACCGGCTAGTAACCAGTGAACTAGTTATCCAGGCGAGAGTAAAATTATGGAAGGCTTCACGGTTTTTCTTGTCATCCTTGTGGAAGGATCATGCTAATCTTCTCTGCATCATTTTAGTTTTAGTATATGTACCGCCAAAGCGAGTACACTTCTGCTCAGTTAGTTGAAACAATGGATTGTCAGTCATTTCACACCTGTTCATGCTCGGATCAGTTGGCTGGTAGTCTGTTTTCCAGACTTTCGACTGCTTGATGCCAAGGTCATTCAGGTATACACAGGTGAAAAGAGTGAACTAGATTCTGTAGTGATTTTATATATATATATTTGTTTGTTCATTTTTCTTAAAGAAGGACGATAAGTGATTTGTTTTTTAAATGCGCTAGGTATGGTTTGAACTGGATTCTGGACAAAATTAAATGTGTTGTAACCAAATATATCAAGATAGGTCTTGGACAGACATTATTTAGCTACACAGGAATACCTTCTTAGCTCAGACATGAAAAATGCAAGTGAACAAAAGTCAAATTATTTTTCTTAGAACCAACAATGGTATCCAGGTGACATTTTGAAGTCAAAATGAAAGTTTCACAATAACAGCATTGGTGTCAGTTCAGCCTAGAGAGAATGAAAATGATTGGTTGGTTTGAACTGCAGACTGAACACTGCAAATAAACCAATCACAGTTGAATTACTTAATAGTTAGAAATGTTCTGTCTGGAAATTGTGTTTTTAGTATGTGAGTAAGCTAATCAATTTGGATAGAATTCGCCACACACCCAGAACATGAGAGCACGTAGTTCACATTATCACTACCAAACATATGGTAAATAATGCTGTTCACAGGAAGAAAGGTACTGGTCATCATGATACTTACGTATAATTAGGCATACACTACTTACATACAAAAATGACAAATTTTATGTACACACAACTGCCACGTGATTGGCTGTCGGTTTTTTACATGTGTGTACTTGCACTGATATGAGATAATAGCAACATAAATAATAGTAATAATAATAATAATGGTAATAATAATTTCCTACTGGATAAACAAACACGCGATGATTCAAGCAAAAAACTTTGGGTTAATCTATTCAACGTGTATGGTGATGAAATAAAGTTGTAATGACCGGTTCCAAACACTATTAATATAACTGATTTTCAAAAAAAACACATTTATCGCTTTTGCTGAAGTCGTTTGTTATTGATTTCGAAGACTCAAGGAGGATAATCATTTTAACAGTTACCGTTAAGAAAGATTTAAAATGAACAGGATACAACAGTAATTTAGTTTATCAGCACCGTTTACCGCCGAATTCTAATTTGAATAAATCTACTTGACTTTTCTAATTTACGCTGAAATACAACAACTTAATCTATGTTTAAGAAATGTAAGTTAAATCGTTCATTATTGATAGTAATATATATTTTTCTGCTATTTTTTTCTAACTCTTTGGCGATTAAAGTAAGTTATGCCGATCACTAAACTGTGAAGAAAAATAATTTCGAAAACAACAGTAAAATTTAGATTCTAGCAATAGTGTCTCGACGGTAAGTCTCATATAATCGATGAAATCCCTGTGCGATATTGGAATAAGTAGACTGGTTATTGATTTCTTTCTGACAAGCCAGCCTTCAAAGTAGCGATACTTAGTGTAAATATTTAAGCCTCGAGAGGCGGACATTATCATAGAGTAAATTACTTGCTGAGGTCTGTGATTACATTATACTGTCAAACATACACCGCGTGTATATAGAGCGGGCTGTTTTATTTCAGTTTCCTAACCATTCGGTAAAAAATCAAATTTACTGATGTTGACTTCGTCAGTATCAGCGATACGAGTAGAAGGAGAAATTAACTATATTGTATACCAAATTGTAGTGCTTAATTCAAGTTCTGGTTTGGAGGAAGCTTTGGCTAATTGATTTGAGCACTTGATTTCCAGCCGACGCATCATGGGTCCGAACCCACTTCCGCCTACTGAGGTTCGGATAGCCAGTTGGTATACTACCAGCCCTCACACATTTACGGCTTCTTGTCTGCTCCAAGAATGTGTACAAAGTTGGTGAGTGAACCTTGATTCATTTTAAACTTCCTGTCCCATTGTAATTTTATTTTTAAGTGGTGAATGTGGATATACGTTTGATTATTCATTTGGCCGACATGATGCTGACAGATTTCAGTTCTCTTATTATTATGTTTTTCAGTTGTTTTTAAGTTATTTCTCACTCATTCAGTACATACAACAGAGTTAAGAGTAGTTTTCATGGCTACTGAGCTATTATCTATTCGGCAAGGGACAACATTTGAGAACTTCTTTCAGTAAGAAATTTACGAACTACAAACTCAGTCACTAGGCTCCGTTTACGAAACATGCCTTACTTATCACATTTCTAGTTGCCAGATATTTACGTAATCATTTCCTTGAATGACAGCTCTCAATACTGCTGTATAGTAATTATGAAGGGGTTCTTCACAATACATTTCAGGTAAGTGATGCTTTGGATTCAGTTACAATTTTAGACAAAAAACGACATCAGTTTGGAGGTTTACAGGGACTTATTGCTTTCAGGTTGGCATTCATCATGGACTAACGTCAGTTGGGAAACCTGGGAACACTGGGTAACTGTCTCGTCCTAGTATGTGACTGCTAAGCAGTACCCAACCACCACTTCGTCAGACATCGAACCAATAACCTCCAGTTTTCTGGGCGAGTGCATTATCACTGAACCATTGGGTTGGAATACACTGTCACAGACCACCATACAGTGCAACCTTCCTAACATACCGTCGTTGAGTACATGTCCTCACATCCGACTTGGATTGTCCCTTCGGTAACGACTCCTTATAAAAACTTCATGAAATCTCATCCCTAAGCAAGTCAGTGATGGACACTGGACAGTAATTTGTTTTGGGGGTTTGCAGCAGGCATGTAACTTGAGTATTCTTGTTCCAACCTCTGGCGCGGTCATGAGTATGGACTGTAGAGGAGTCCCATACCAGGTCGAAATAGGTGTCTACTGCTCTCAGTTTTTCAATGACTCTCCAACTAATATCAGTCCATGATGAATACCGGCTTGAAAAAAAACTAGTTTTTACAAACAGATAAAACAAGTGTTTGTGTGTGTGATACAGTCTGCTTTACTTCATGTACTCAGTTAAGTAGCACATAATGTAATAGTGCAGTGTCACGTTGCATCACTGTATATCCACATCATAGAATTGATTGGTTCTACTCAAACAAGACTTGGAAATAGACAGCATATAGATAGTTTTGTATGATAACCTATCACAGCAACTGTCTTAGATTATCCAGAATAAAAGTATCTACCATAGGAATTTACGTGTAATGCTCTCGATTATTGGACCTCTGTACTCAGATCACGAAAACTATGTACACACGAGTATGTGTTCTTCAGGCTTACTAACTTGTCGCTGTGATGGACCGACAATGAAATTCTTCCTGCTAATAATGGCTTTTATTGAAGGAAGGTGGAATTTACTCCCTAGTTTGTTTATTACATTTGATGGGTATTTTTGGATGATATATCAAGTAAGCAGAGTAGAAAAATGGAGCCTGAAGTCCCTCCAAAACTAGACGTCAGTTTTTACTCTGTAGAAAACTAATCAGAAGTAAATAAAAATGTCAAACACCAGTAGTAAGTTTGCTGTTTGCGTAGATAAGTCATAGTGGGTGAGCACGTTTACGCTCAATATAAACAACTCACGAAGACTATCAGGTGGTAGTATAATCAACTCCCATCCAATAAGTTTGAAGTTGAATACCAAAATCACTGAATCCTATTTTCGAAAGGGGACTTATTCGTGCTGACTGTATTTACATGAGGTCAAAGTGTGAAGTTATCAACTGATTCCTCTAGTTGTATAACTGGCAGTGATACAGATTGTGAATTCTAGAATATGGGTCATCCATTTTCCAGTAAAATCAGGTATAGGTGATCAACAAACAAATTGGCAAAGTAGAGAAAAACCAAAAATGCTTTATGAAAACGAAGTACCTCATTAGGTATAGAATGAGTTAGAAATTGCAATGCTGTGGTTTACAGTTTTTCTTCTCTTACGTCATTAAAATTAAAACTACAAAATAAACAAAAGAAGGATAAAGTCTTAGAGTAATTTCTTATTTTTTTAGTTTCAGAATGATTTGAAATTGACAATAAGGATATTTTCATGGACACAAGTAGCTAATGGGATGAGAGTTGACTGAAATCAATGTAAAACAGAAACAAAATCGGAACTTACTAGAGTACATTTAAGTCAAAAATTTTTACATTTCAATGCACACCTTTCAAATACAGCTCTATATTAAGTTTTGGAACTGAATAGTAATGAAGAGTATGTGTGAACCTAAACAGCAGGCTAGTAATTATTTGCATTCTCAAGGGAAAATGTTGTACTCACTGTTAGCACCTTAAATGTTGTGATATCCATTGATTCAAACTTAACACGTAAATGATTCAGATGTAAGCACTGATTCTGTGTTTATCTTTTTATTTTCTGTTTGAGAAAAAAATAAATTGTCAATGTATAATTGGAAATATTACTTACTGGCAAATTAGCTTTCCACTTGTGATTCTTTTGTCTTACCAGTCTTAAAACACCATTTGATAATTTGTGAAGTTTTATTTTCCAAGAGATAATTCTCCTTCTTCTTGGTACTGTTTCTTTCATCTTATGTTTAACGGATTCTTTGTTGAACCAACTATAAAGTTCAGATAAGTACTTTCTTATCAGTAGCACCAACTGAGGTAAATTAGAAAGGAGTGACTTTGTGACAGGCAATACAATTGTTACATTCAGTGATGTACTGATGTCTTTTACCTCAATCTAATACTGGTAAATGATATTTCCAAAACAGTCGGTCAGTTAATTGATCAGTGAATCAGGACATAGTCTGAAGTTCACAGATTTCTCGCACTAAAATAAAAAGTATTTTAAGCACAAGTATGGAAACAGGTTAATATTTTCATGAATTACAAATGAACCAAAAATAATTTTAAAAATCCAAATTCTTTTGCAAAAAATGGTGGTTATTTTCTGTCTGTCTGATAAATGTGTAGATATATTTTGTGGTATGCAAAAATTAACTAATCATAGTAGCTGACTAGTTTTTTATGCAAATAATTAGTGATGCTAAACTAATGAGGATTTTTCTCACCAATACATGAGGATATATACATTTTCTAAAATGCTAACTGGGAGTGGTCTTCGTACTTGTCATCTGGCATAAACAGAGTGAGAAAAATAAAACTGCTCCGTTATTTACAGTTCAGTTTCATCAACACTTCAAGCACAGGTGTTGAAACTGACCGACTGGCTGGTTTGATAAGTCAGTCTCTAATTTACCAGAGCCTCTAGGTGTGTGAACTGCTGTTAACCCCAGGCAGTGAAGGGAGTTTCTACTCTTGATTCCGGCTGTTGGTTGCAAGTGATCTCTTTAAATCAGTATTCTGCTATACCACTGAGGAGATATGACACACGTCGGCATCTGGTCATGATCACTACAAACATAACCACTGATTACAGTTCATGTGGTATGAAGAATAAGATCATCCAGATGCTTAAAAACTTGTTGCAGAGTTCTATGCGTACTCATATGGCAGTATGAACTGGTAACTGCTGCATATCAGAAGAGTTATTGAATCAGTAACAAGATCATTTTAAAGTACTTTTTAAATCTGATGCATGCTTATTGGTAAAATTTGTTGTCCTTCGTAATTTTAAACAATATCCATCAAAAGGATAAGGGGAAAACATATAATTTGATATCCAGAGACACTAACAAAATGATGGATGCAGACAAATAAAATGTTAGGTTGGTCATTCACAGAGGCAGTTCCGGCCACTAGAAGCCAAATGAGTGTACCATCTGAAGCCACTCGACTTCCTTGCGTATCAGACTGCAAGTCACGGGCTCAGGAATCGATCCATCAGGATGACCATTCAAGTTGGTCTATGTGTCCGCAAAATATATTGACCCACTACGTGTCAGCGCCAAAGTGAGACAGATCGGTTGAATCTCTATAGTCTATCCAACCTTCACTGGAATGCTCAATATGATTGGGAAATAACTGACATGGGGAAAGATACCTCTTCATAATCTGACTGACTGCAACCCAGATATATTCAGAGATAAATTTTATGATCGACTCGGTGAAGTTTACAGTGAAACTCGCTCGTCAGATTTCGTAGTGCTAGCTGACAGCTCTAAATCACTTGGGCATCTGGGCTCAGAAAAGAACAGCTTAGGTGGCCGATGACAACTACTCCACTGTAAGTCAGATAATAGAGACAAACTTCTGAGGTTTTTTTTGAAGATCCTAATTATTTCTCAGTCAGAACTTCTTTATGGTTGACAAAAGGTGCAGT